TTGCCACTGTTTTGCCGCGCAGCCAACCCCGCCCCAGCCAATTCTCAAACAATGCCCAGCCCCCAGCATGGATCTTGAAAGGGCGTTTATTTCGCAAAACATCAACTGCCCTTCGGGCACACAACACGCCTGGCCTCTAGGCCTCCTCTGCACACGCCCACCCTCCGGAAAGCTTGCAAACCACCTCCTGCCCTGCACGCTGCATGCGCCGAAAAAAGCAGCATGCTTTCTAGGGTAGACAATTAAAACCTCCTGGCTGGCGCGAAAATACCCGCACCGCGCCAAACCCTGCCCTCCCTGATTTCCACAGGGCCTCCGCGTTTGGCTAAAGTACTCCAGCACCCTGCCCGCGGCTTTCGAAAAGCATGTTCAAACAAAATATTGGGCAGTCCGCCTGCAGCCTTGGAAGAGCAAGACGGTGCAGCTTGCAAGTAATTCGGGGCTCGCCTTCTTTCCCGCATGCCTTGCTTAAGGGCCCGATGAAGCCACGTCTTTCTCAACAGCAAGATATACGTGCTAAATTCGGGCTTGCTCTTTCAAGCTGCCCTTTCATAGCTATTTTGCAGATTTTCGCATCCTCATATAAAAGCTCATAAAACGAGCAGACCACTCTACTGTGCCCTGCTTAAGGAATTCGCCCATGAAGTGTGGGCTGCTTCTATTTGGGCACAGAATGTCTGCATGCAGCACAGGGCGCCCTGTTTCTTTGTACCAGTTTAGCACTCCAGCAGAACTAGTGCCCACTCGGCAGGGACGTCTTTTGGGGGTATAGGAACCCGAACGTGTGCAGATACATCGGAGACTCCGGCCTCCTCTTTTTGACAGCTGGATGCTCGGGCAGAGTATGCCAAAAAACCCTGCAGACAGGAGGATGCCTGGCTTAACATGGTTGGCGCTGGGCCCAAGACTCTGGATGAGCCGGAACATGGAGTGCTGCACTGAGCACCATTCAGCCCCCTGCTTCTTCCTGCAAAGGGCAAGCCGTGCTATGGCCAGCTCCCTTTCATGCACAGTAAGCGCAGGCCCGCATAAAAACAGACTGCCCGGGTTTCTGGGCAAGAACTCTGCCGCTTCACCCAGCACTCTCCACAGCCTGGCTCTCTACTGCAAAAACTTTAAAGCAGCATGCTATGCTGGTGCGCGAGTGGCTTGGAAAAACAAAGCAAAGCAGCGCCCTTTAAGAATGTGTGGACAATGGAAAGAAGAAAAGAAGTTTACTTGCACTTGGAAGGCCGGAGACTTCTTTGCCTGGAGCCGTTCGCTCCCAAAGAAGCCTTGCCAGCTCTGCACACGGTTTCTGCAACTCGCCCAGCCCTGCGCGCGCATCTGCCGCACGCAGCTTTGCCAAAACCTGTGTATGCTCTCTTGGCAGAACCGATCTCCTCGACACACTGCGCCATGCATTCTTTTGTTTTGGCCACGCTTTCTTCTTTCTCTTTCAAGGCCCGCTCCAACCTGGAAATTATTTTTTTGTTGTCTGCCTCCGTCTGCTCTATGCAACCTTCTGTCTTGATCAACCCCCCTCCTTGCTCTTTTGAGACTGCATCCAATCCGGAAACACTCTTTTTCTCCAAATTCAGCTGCACTGCATCCGGCCTTCTTTCTGCATCCAATACTGCATCCGCTCTTGAGGGTGCCTTTGAATTTGCATGTTCTTGCTCTGCCTCTGTGCGCACTGCATCCTGCCTGTTCTTTACGTCCGAACCTTCCTCTGGCTTTTTAAAGGTGTTTTTGAATTCAGGCTCTACTATTCACCCGCCCCAAGAGCGCCTGCCTTTTCCAACCTGTTCGAAGCGTGTGTCCAATCATGCGTGAAAAATCGCGTGCGCTTATATATGTGTATATCGTCAAATCGCGATGCCGCTCAAAATGATAACCGCGTGCTGCTTTCGCCGAGAAGAGCAGGAAGAAAAGTGCACCTTCTCCACGCGGCACAGAAAGCCCGCAGGCAACCGCTACGCACTACTTCCGTACCTAGAAAAGCAGCTCCTAGGTCACCCTAGACAGAAACAGCCAGCCAAGCAAAGAGCAATAGGCTACAAAGAGAGAAGGGCACGCTCTGCGAGGATTATATTCTCTGCGCTGCCAGTTTGTGCTTGCACTGTGCCCGAATGATGCTTTTAAGGCCCTTTCCAGGCTACTCTGTGCTTTGCACCCTTGCTCGCACCTCTTTATGCATACGCTCTCGCACTGACACTGTGGATGCACACCCCGCGCCAACGCGCCCTTCCAGCCCCGTTCTGACTGTCTTCTTTTCCCTTTGCCTGCCCGCAAAAATAAAAGCAAGCCTGTCTCTCTGCACGCAGTAAACAGAAAAAAGCACCCACACTCAACAGAGCCCCCAAACATGAACCCACGCCCTCTTATGATCGCATATTCTCTCGTTTCGCCCCTCTACGTTATGTCGTTTCTCTACCATAATACACTGCTATACACTCCAAAAACAAATTCTCCACTCTGCTTTCCCTTCCAGCCCGCACAAACACACTGCTTTTTCTTTCTTTATTTTCTATGCAGCAAGACTGCCCATGCGCTGCCACGCCAAAGCGCCCGCGACAGCCTACAGCCCTCTTCTAAACAAACCAGCCTTTGCCTGTGCAGTTTTTATCTTCTGCCTACATCCGAAATCTCAAGCAAAGCTCTCGCCGCTCGCGCAATGCTCTCTTCAGCATGTCAAGCTTCGCCCACCCAATGCTTTCAAGAGCCTTTTGTATGCACGGGTCCTCCAAGAACGCTAGCGCTTTACTGACCGCTTCAAAGTCGAAGTCCGATACTTCTTTTTTGCAGCCGCGGTAGAAGCCCTCCTGGCCTAGCTCCTGGCACACCCACACAATGAGCTCGCAATGCACCGCTGCCTTGCTGGAGGAAAGTGCCGCAAAAAGCCAAATAAAGAGCAGCTCTCTGACCCGCGCGTTGGCCTCCGCCAGCGCTTTCCCTGCGTGCTCGGCCAGGACAAGCGTGATGGTTTCTTCTAGGATTTCCATAGGCTTTTCTGCAACCAGGAAGCATGCTACGTGCTCTCGACGCCTGTAGCCTTTTAGCAATGCGCAGTTGAGCAAAGGCTCCTCCGCATGCGCAGCACATGTCCGGATGTGCTCCATATTGATCCTTCCCGTGAAAAACATACACTTTTTTGGGGCATACACGTCTCGATACACATGGCTTCCATAGAACATAAAAAATGCCGCAGCGCACCCCTTGGGCGGGCACACGCTCGGGCATAGCGTCTTCATAGCACCAACGAATAATGGCACCTTAAAAACACCTTCACGCACGAACTCGTTTTCAAGCTCCGTGCTCCCTATCACGTTTGCGACCAGATGCGCCATTGGATGCAAGGCAGATAGAGCCACGCCGTACCGGTGCGCAAACAGAAGCATCTTCGCAGAAAGCTCTTCCCGCAGCTCCTCGCCCACAATTGGCAGCACCAGGAGCACCCGGTTCGGCCTCTCCGCGCTGCGCTTGGCGGTTTTCCTCGCTGCCCTCCATATTTTTTTCTTTCCTAGGCCATGGTCCCGGCACTGGTTGCACCTCAGCACCATTCTGTCAATGCACTCCGCAAACACAAAGCTGGGAAAAGCCGCGTCCTGTCTGTACTGCGCAGCCAGACTGCGCATTTCTTTCAGCACGTCGCTGGAAAGAAAGGGGTCTGGCATCCGCATGCTGCTCTTTACATACCACTGGCAGGTTACCAGCTCAAAGGCCTGCCTGCGCCTTTTATCTCTATGCGGATGCTTTACTCTAACCGCATAGCGGTTGTAGCCCCCGAATGGATAGCCCACGGTCTCTATCTGCGCCTGCGAGCGCACAGCCAGCGAGCGCACAACAGAATTAATGCGCTGTAAGACCTCGGCGTTTAAGATATCCCCGTATACTCCCGCCGAATCCCCTAAAAGCGCCTCTAAGCCATCAACCACGGCCTTCGGCTGCCCGGTTTTCGTGGCAAACTCGCACATCAAGTCTAGAATGCGCAGATCCTCTGTCTTCCAAATATCCATAAGTCGCACAAATATGTCTGGTCCATAATCGTTATATCTCCCTACCCAGTCGAGTGAGTTGAATGCCCCGAAGAATGAGCACTCCTCTATATGGGCCTGCAGCGCTAGAATTGCCGCTCTAACCTCCGCCGACTCCGCTGTCTGCTTAATGTGCTCCAGCAGGCCTTGAAGGTTGTACTCCATCTTCTCGGGGTCGTACGCCAGGCACAGAAGAAGCAAGCACATTGCACCTGCCGGGTCTTCGAACTTTGCACACGATTCAAGATTGGCTGGGCCATTTATAGTGCTCTGCAGCATGTCTGAATCGTCAGAATTGTCTGCTTCTTTGAGCCCGCTGTACTCTGGGCAGATTTCAGGCCTGGGCGGGTCTTCTCTGTTGGGCTCACCCCAATCAGACTCATCCGTAAGCTGTTCACAATAGTCTGACGAGTTTAGATGCTTCTGCACATGCACAAACTCTCCAAAGACCCGCGCCTTCTCCATCTTTTCCTGCGCGGCCAAAAACGGGCCCAGATACGCCTCGGCTTTGGAAAGCTGCTCAGCACACACAAACATCCGGCTGACCACGCTGCCTGGGTCTTTTAAGCTTTCTGCCAGCCCCATACCCTCCACAAGCTTGAACGCACACTCCATCACAGACATAAGCTCTTCCGCGCTCTTCACGTACTCGCCTATGTACGTGAGAATCAGAAGCTGCGGGCTCTCCAAAAAGTCTCCCGTTTTAAACTCTTCGTACGTGCTTGGCAGCATGTGTGTGCCTCTGTGCCGCTTGAAGAAGTTTATCACATGCCACGTCTCGGATGGCTGCCTTTCTCCACTCTCCACAGCTGGCACGATTATATGTGCGTCCACCAGCACGTCCTCGCCGTCTTTTCTTTTTTTTACAATCACTCTGTTCCCAGAAGTCCAAATCGGCGCGTCCACGCCCTCGCTCAGCAGGACTAGCGCAGCCAGCACGTAGTGCGCCTCTTTTTGCGTTCTGCCGCTCTCCCGAAGAAACTCTGTAAACGAGCACGGCCGCCCAGTTTCAACTGTCAGGCGATCGTATGTCGACCAGCCGGCTCTCTGCAGGCCAAACATATGCACCAGCGCGCGATGGAACGCCACGCTGTACTCTCCATCTCCTGCAAACGCTGCCGCGCTCGCAATGCTGTCGGGAAGGCGCGCCCTGTCCTTCTCCGGCTCTCGCGTGTACGTATACACCTCTTCTCCGTTTTCTTTCCTCGGCACTAGACTGAAGCTCGTGGCCAGCCCGCACGAGTACGCCCGCATGTTGTACACATACCTCAGCCACTCTATCTTCACTACACACACCGGGTGCCCTGCCCACTCCGGGCTCACATACACATCCTCCCCGCCCACGCGGCCCACAGCCGCCCTCATGCAGCCCATTGCATCCTCATTCGTAAAATACACGCACCTTGCGTGTCTGAGCGCGGAAAGCAGCGCCCATATAAGCCCAACCTGCAATCTAATATGTGCTTTTGGCATGAAAAATTATTTTTGTGCAATTTACACAATTATGTCTAAGCGCAAGCTGCTTTTGATTGTACTTCCACTAAATGACCAAATTGTTTTTTTGCCAAATTGTTTTCGGACAGGAAAATATTCCTGCATGGTTTGCTCTGCGCCCGATCCAGCTCCAGCAGCAACTGGTTGTTGAACTGGAGGCCTTTAACAGGATCCCTTTTAACGCACCCTCGCCGGCTCAGCCTGTTCGCTGCAGCGCCTTTTCTTATGCACTGCGCCTAAGCCTCGGGAGACCGCCGAACAAAGCCGCAGATTTTGGCTCTCTACTCTAGCACAACAACTTTAAAGCAATATACCATGCATGCGCGCATGAGTGGCCTGGAAAATAAAAGCAAGGCAGCGCCATTTAACTTGCCCGAACAGCTCTTGCCTGTGCCCTCCAGCAGAGCCTCCTCTGCTCTGCCCGCAGCAGCGCGCCGCAAACATCTTCCCGAACAACCCAAAAGAATGAATGAATAAACCCAGAAAAGAAAAAGCAAAAAGATTTACTTAGACTTGGAAAGCCCAAGCTTTCTTCTCCTGGAGCCTTCTGCTCTCAAGCAAGCCTTGCCAGCTCTGCACACGCTTCGGGTTATTCGCCCAGCTCCGCGCCTTTAAACCGAGGTCTCAAGATACATTTTCTTCCTGCGCAGGCTCTCGCCCTCCATCTGCCATATGCCTTGCATTTCATCTGCGCCCAAACACTCTAAATTCTGCATAACTGACGTAAAAAGCGCATGCTGCCTCTTCTCTGCCTCGATTTCCTCTAGCACTTGCCTTTTCTCTACTTCCACAAGTTCCTCTTGCTCTTTTATGACCGCATCCAGCCACGCAGCATCCTGCGGCCTCTCGGCGCTCAATCCGTTTATTGTCTCGTTTATAATCGCCCTCAGCTTTATAATGATGCCTTGGTCTGCCTCCATCTGCTTTGTGCTTTGCCTTCTCTCTTCTTTCAAGCATTTTACCAGCTCGTATATGGACGCCTTCAACTTCGCAGCGCAGCATTGGTCTGTCTCTATCCGCTTTGTTTTTTGCTGTTTCTCCGCCTCCATACACTCTATGGTTTGCACTATCTCCGCGTTGAAGATTTCTGCCTGCTCTTTTAAGGCTACCTTCAAATGCGCGTTCTCATTAATGGCTGCCTCCAAACGCTTGCACCCCCTGCCGCATGCCTCTTTCGAAACACCTTCTCTGCGCCCGCCCTCGTCTGCCTCCTTGCACATAAAAGTGCTTCCACTTGCAGCACATATCATTGCCAATAGCACCCCGGCGCCCGCTAGCACCCGCCCCTTCCGACTTGTTCGAAGCGCACACACAACCATCCAAGAAAAATTTCGTGCGCCTATATATTACTAGAATGCATCTAAATGATGGCAAGTATCAAAACGATAACATTTTAGTGAATTCGCAGAGAAGAAAAAGGAAGCAGCGCGCACGCTTTCCTCGCGCAGCATGAAAAGCATGCAGGCAAAGGCCTGCGTTCTTCGTGCACTCAGAAGAGAAACAGCGCCCACGCCCATTCTGGTCCATTGCAAGCTCTGCAGACATAGCGCACAAAAGGAAATAAAACACACCTCCACACATTTTCTTCCAAATCGAAAGTTTCCTTCCGAAGGCTTGCAAGAAGGGAAATAAAAATTCCTCAGCCAGTCGCCAAACAGCAGGGGAGGTTTTGCAGCTCGGGCACAAAAGGGTTGCTGTGAAGCCCAGGCTTCTTTCTGCGCGTGGCATGCCCGTGTGGAAAATAGAAGAATCGCAGCTGGAAGAGGCCTGAAAGCAGATTTTGCAAAGTTTTGGAACGTGTGGTGGACATCACGCATCCACACAAGCCCATAAACGGAACATGTACTTTAATTTTATTTAAGGCAAAAGCATAAATATCTGCAAGCTTTACAAAAGAAAGGAAAACTGCTTCGGCCATGAGCTCGGGCAGCCACCCAGCGTGCTGTGCGCTGAAAGCACAGTTACTCCTAATTGGCTATTGCTTAGACGAGCCTAATTAAGGGGCTACATACCCCGAGCTAAGGGATATATTATACAGTGTCTATATATGCAGACCGAGAAATAGTAAAGGACGATGTTTCACATGGCTACTTCCCGTATCACAACTACCCTGCTCGTGCACGCAAAGTTTTATGCACTTATACTTGCAGCGCTAATTCACTGCGCGCACGCGAGAGTGTCCTTTGACGAGGCCATAGAAATGCAAAGCACTGAAATAGGAGAAAGCCGCGCCTTCATCAACCCAAGAGGGCCGCTCTGCCTGTTGCGCGGGTTTGTGTACTCCGAGCTGAGTTACATGCACAACAAGCGCTTCTTTTCGCCTGAAATAGAAACCGACTACAAAGTGGAGCCCGTTGGGGATGTTGAAACCACAGAAGAGCACAAATACACAAGAAACGCGCAGAATGACAAACCATATCCGCCTGCAGAGGGACCCGCTCGGGGCTCCAAGCCTGCGAGCACAGACTACACTGTGACGTACCACCGCACCCTCATCGAGATGTTTCCGTCTGTCGACGGGCACACTCTGTCGGTTGCTGTCGCCCGAGATGACTCCTTCTTCCAGGCTCTGCAGAGAATGCCCAGCAAACACGCGCACTACGTGCTGGCTGCGCTCCTCCTGCTGAGCGAGGGAATAGACGTGCCCATCAAGGCCACGCAGAAAACAATCACACTGGAGATAGGCAGCATAAAAGTTGGAGCAGACTCGTGCAAAAAGGCTGCCCAGGTCATAAACTTCTTCAAAGACAGCAAAGGCAAAGGAAAACTGCCGTGCACGCAAAGCGACTTCAACACCGGCGACTTTCTAAACACGCCGCAGTTCCTCATCCAGGCGTACATCTTTGAGTACATCACGAGCAAGGACGACGCCCTGGACTTCGCAGCGTGCGTGCACAGCATCCTCAAAAGCCTGCCGGAAAAAGACTGCAAAGACGTATACAGCGCGTGCTTTGTGAGGAGCAAGGCCGAGGGAGACGAGTTCCTGTGCCAGCTTAGGATGATTCAGAAAGCCATGAAGAATCTGGACTCGTTCCCGTTCGCCAGCCCAAACATGCTGCCGGCGTACACAAGCGTGCGCGCCTGCAAGAGAGGCCAAACCAAGTTTCTGAATGAAACCTTCAGCAACTGCGTGGAGACCGGCCTGCTTGCGCTCTTTTGCTGCCTTGCACACGACCCAGTCCAGAAAGAGTACGACGCAGACGCCATGCTCGGCGAGGAAAAGGAGGGTGAGGAAACAGAGGCCCTGCATACATTCTTCCAGTTAGAAAGTGTCACCCCAAAGGTGTGCGCCACCAAAGAGACGATGCAGGAGTGGAACCGCGTCGTGTCTGACCTGCAGAGCGAGCACATCGCGTACAAAAGGGAGAGCCGAAACGAGGTACGCTCCGGAATTTTCAACGCTCTCTACGTTGTGGCGGAGGTGACGGGCAGACGAGAGCAGGAGGAGCCGAGAATACGCGAGCTTGCGCAGATGCTAAAAGGCTGCAAAATTCGCGAAGCCTCTGAGGACGTGTTTGAAAAAGCACAGGAGTACGTGGCAGAGCTTTTCGCGTCCCTCTCTGTGGACAAATCCTTAAAAGTCGAATTCTCCGGCTTGATGGTCGACGTCCGAAGTGATAAGAAGAAAGACCTCTACGGAGAAATCACTCTGAAGTACACAGACAAAGACAGCGTGATAGAGCAGGGCATATGCATTGCCTTTAAGCCCAGGCACCTTACAGTTACTTTGTGCCCATGCGTCTTTCTTTCTATTAACAGCGAAGAAAAAGAGGCCTTCTTTGCGGTGGACAGCTGTCTAGAGCCCGAGACTTTTGCTGAATGCCTGCTTGCCAAGTACGCAGACGCGTGGAGGGCCAGAGACGCGGACCTCTACGAACCAAGCTTTACTGATGACATTCCGGAGATCGCAGACCGCCTAACGGCAAGTGAGGTCCTGAAGCACCCAAACCAGCTTTTCTTGCACGGAAAAGCCCTGAGATATGAACAGATACAAGAATTCGCCGAGGACTTCACCGGGCATGCAGCAGCAAACGGCATCGAGCTCGCCCAGGAGCATCCGGGCGTGCGCCTCCTCTCAAACATGCTCGGCAGCCTTCCGCTGGACGACTATGCAATGCAAATCGATGGGATGCAGCACATAGTCTCTCTGGACATGCTGGGCACGCTGTTTCCAAGAATCGCCCTGTCAAAGCAAATAGCTGCTAGAATCTATAGAAACACACACACTATCGCCAAGCTAAGGAGCTACACCGAAGACAATTGCGTGCCCACAGCAAACGCCATTATGAAATACCTCAGAGAGTACAAAGATAAAGCAGACAAGCCTCTTTTCCGGTGCTGCAAACTAACAAGCTTTACCGCTGCCTCTAACTTCTTGTTTCCCGTTTTACTTGCAGACAAGTCAACGCGCCACACAGACGAAATTAGCGCGCTTATTATGGATGTGGAGGAGAAAGACCGGGAGGAGGCGCTGGACACCAAGGCGGTCTTCGACCTCTTCGTGTTCCTCGCCAGCTTGCAAGACAAAGGCATCCCGCACGAGCTGGTGCTTGCTCTGGGCAGCAGGCTTGGGCCAAGGTCGATCCCGGCATGCAATAAAGCCAGTTGCATGGCTTTTGTCAGCAGCCAAGAAGCCTCTGCGATTCTGGAGGCGCTGAACACCCACCAGAGCGCCCTGCAGCAGGCGCCCAACAGAGCGGAGGTGTTCAACGGCGTGATGGACATACTCAAGTCCAGAATACACTAGGAAAGTTGCCTGGTGCGCATGCACGCGCACGGCCAAATGGCACGGCCCGCCGGCTAGAGAAATGCGCCTGCGCACTATTCTGTTAATTTCTTGCTCTTAGCAGTATATATGCATGCGCTGCGTTTTTATACAACTTGTGCCAAAAAATAGAACCACACTTCTAAAAACCCTTTTCATTCGGAAGCTTCCTTCCGGCCCTGCAAAGCAAAAATAAAACTTCTCTAGACTAGATTTCAGCCTGCGGCCTTCTTCTCCCGCGCCCACTAAACAAACTTGGCAGTTGCCTGCTCCAAAGCGCACATGTTTTTTCTGTTTTATTTTCCATAGAGAGTCGGCCAAAGAACAGCACGCAGTGCATGCACTTCTGCGCTGCCTGCGAGAGCCCGCACTTGCCTATTTGTGGCATGGAACGAATGGTTGACAGCAGCCACACCACACCCGCGGCTTCGCC